AAATATAATAAATATAATATAATATAATATAATATTATATTATATTATATAATTTTAAAGTTGAAAAATACACTTGGATTTTTTGTTTTAAATAATTATCACTTACAAGGATTGTAAAGTCCTTCGTTAACATTGTTAAAATAAGACACACAAATACATGACCCCCAAATCAGAGATATACTGTAGGTGATCACTGTGAGTTATTATTATGAAGGAAACATGCCAAATAATAAAGCATTGAACAATCACACCATCCCACACCTTCTGGATTGTTCATTTTCATGCTGAACTCCACATTCATATTTTCATGCAGATGAAAACAAATCTAAATACCCCAGTGCGTGTTGTCACATTAAATTGCCATCACAGCCAAAACACAATTATGAAAACAGAGACTCAGGCTCCGTATTTGGCTGGATTTGCTTTGAGTGCTCCCTGATAGCATTAATGGACTTTTAATATTTCACTGGGACTGAGGGATGGAAAAAGCAAAAGGAGAAAAGGGACTAGTTAAATGAATTGGGTAACTGAATTGCATGGACAAGGGTGTCCAAACTGATGTCTATTAACACACAGACTACAAAAACTAATCTTTATTTTAAACATGTCATAAATGGGCCACTTCACCCTGACACAAAGAAAACATATTTCCTTATATATTAAAAAATGTAATGTTATTGAAAAATTACAGAACAATAGGGGTGAATTCAGATAAATCAGGATTTTTGCCATTGAGATGACTGGGAAAGAAAATATCCCAATTAACCTGAATTCACCCCTATATTAGTAAGTAATTGCTGCTTTTCCAAAAAAATTTAAATATTTGACATATATTTAGTTAAAAATCATAATTGTTTGTCATTTTATATTCAGCACTTCAACACAATTATGAAAACAGAGACTCAGGCTCCGTATTTGGCTGGATTTGCTTTGCGTGCTCCCTGATAGCATTAATGGACTTTTAATATTTCACTGGGACTGAGGGATGGAAAAAGCAAAAGGAAAAAAAGGGACTAGTTAAATGAATTGGGTAACTGAATTGCATGGACAAGGGTGTCCAAACTGATGTCTATTAACACACAGACTACAAAAACTAATCTTTATTTTAAACATGTCATAAATGGGCCACTTCACCCTGACACAAAGAAAACATATTTCCTTATATATTAAAAAATGTAATGTTATTGAAAAATTACAGAACAATAGGGGTGAATTCAGATAAATCAGGATTTTTGCCATTGAGATGACTGGGAAAGAAAATATCCCAATTAACCTGAATTCACCCCTATATTAGTAAGTAATTGCTGCTTTTCCAAAAAATTTAAATATTTGACATATATTTAGTTAAAAATCATAATTGTTTGTCATTTTATATTCAGCACTTCATTTTATACAGCCTATATATATACTGTATATATATATATATATATATAGGGATGCACGATATTATCGGACTGATATCGGAATCGGCCGATAATGGCTTTAAATGTAAATATCGGCATCGGCCCAATATGAAAAATTATGCCGATATGTCTTGCCGATAAGAGGAAAAAATTTAAATATTTGACATATATTTAGTTAAAAATCATAATTGTTTGTCATTTTATATTCAGCACTTCATTTTATACAGCCTGTATATATACTGTATATATATATATATATAGGGATGCACGATATTATCGGACTGATATCGGAATCGGCCGATAATGGCTTTAAATGTAAATATCGGCATCGGCCCAATATGAAAAATTATGCCGATATGTCTTGCCGATAAGAGGAACACATGAACTCACATGTGCTCAGGGTGTGCTAGCGATTAGATCACGTCAGCAGTGTGGCTCATTCTTGAAGCAAAGTTTTGCCTGAATGGTGATTAGATTCACTGCTTTGGATCGCTGCATTTAAACTGAGAACGCACGTTCAGAATGGCGCGTTCGTTCGGTGTATGATAGAGTAAACAGTAATAGCACGTGCAGCGGTAGCCTCCCCCGGGTCCTAACACTCATTCGTAAATAGTTTTATATATACTGATTTATTCATTAATGTGTATTATGTTTTATTTTTTTAAACAAATCATAAGCTCTAAAAGATTTTCAGAATTTTTACAACTCTTTTGCTTTAGACCATCTACAAACGTTAAATCTTAAAATAAAATGTTAGGGTTTGATATATAGTTTATTTATAGTTATTTTCAAAGCTTCAATGTACTGTCAAAAACCTTCATTATTGTTTATTTAATTCTAACAAATAAGTTATTGTAAAAAACTAACCAAAATTAAAAATATTTTGCTTATAATTTCTGCACAGGAGAGACTTGGTGTTGTTTCCAAACCAAAGGAAATATATCGGTATCGGTATCGGGCAAAATGAGTTGAAAAATATCGGCATATCGGATATCGGCAAACATTCTATATTGTGCATCCCTAAAATATATATACATATATATATTGTTCACATATGTACATTCTTTGGGTAGATGAAGATATAATTTTATAACATATATTAAATCCCCATAGTAAAATTTTTATAGCTACATATTAATAATATATAATGATTTTTTTATATGGTATTGAAACAACTATTTGTAGCAACTATATATATTTTATTTATATATGCAACTTTATTAAAATGAAATATATACAAAAATCTGTATGTTTATGTATATTTTTGTACTACATTTTTTTTTAAAGTACATGCCTATGTTTTATATTTACTTATATAATATCAACATGTATTGATGGGTTTTAGTCCAGGCTAGATACTATATATTACATTTTCCAATTTCTATTATGTTTCATGTTTGTTTTTCCTTCATTTGAATATCTTTCATAAATGGACATTTTATATATGTACATATATTACCTTTGCATATTGGTTAGATGGGTAAAATCGCACAATCTTTTGATTTAAAGTTTCTAAAAGTACGCTTGAGATGGATTTGTCTAATTCATGCCCACTAACACAAACTCCAGCAGGTGCATTTATCCGTGGCATAAAGAAAAAAATGATCTCATTATCCCATCAGATAATTCCCAGCGGTCTGCGAATCAACAACATCATAATGAGGACAGGAGCTGTTTAAAAAGAGTCGAGATGCACGCTTTGCATGGAGCAGACCTATTTTAGACTCTAACTTGACTAGACTAATTTACTCTGGGCATCTGAATGCAGTAATTACGCAGTGACCATTCTGACTGATTGCAGAACCATGCTCCACTTTCACAGGAAAATCTGAGCTTGGAACTTTGTGTGTATGTGTGTGTCGCAGCTCTGCAATGCGGTTCTTTGTGGAGTCAAATTTGCAGCTTTGTTCTGTCGATGCCTTGGCTTCCTGGAACACAATTCTCAATGCTTTGATTCACACACGCCACCTCGGGTTAGACTTTGATCCTCCTGCGCATCGACGTTCGGCTGCTTGTTCGTTTTCGCTGCAGATGCTTCAAAAAGCAACGGCGTGCAGCGCAATATAATCACGCCTCTCTGAAAGGCGACTAATTAGGGAATGAAAATATAAGGTTGCCATGGATACAGGTCACCCAAACCCAAAGACTAAACTACGGGGAGAGTTTACGAAGTACGAACTGCGCCCACTGATTGCACGCTTCGTTTGCGTTGTTTTAGCACCTGATTCGCTTAAGGAATTATGCAAATCAGAAAAGGCATAAATAATTAGCGCAGGGCACTTGTGGAGGATGCAACAATCAGGTGACTTTAAAGTGACTGTACAGCATCACGAACAAATGATCTGAAAATGCAGATAGTGTGGGCTACTGGACTATACTATTTGATCCTCATTTAATGAATTACTGCTGCCATGATCAATAAAAATATACATTAAGGTATTTTTTTTATAATATTTTGTTTACCGCTAGCCTTCTATATAATGCCATATTTAATTATTAAGCGCATTAATTGCACCAAAAAGCTTTGTAAATAAGTTACAACATATAATAAGCCTAAAGTGCATAAATATAATATAATATAATAATATTTGGCAGTTTTTAGTGATATTTTTAGAAATATCACAGTCTTGCGTTCAGATTATAAATGAGATAAAAAAAAAATATCCTGATCCAAAACCAAAGATGTAGATAATCTGCATAAATCTATATTATAGAGCATAGTGGCTATCTTATAATGTGTACTGCAAACTGTTGATTTATTGCTATCAAAAATACAAAATGTAAATAAAAAAATTCTATAATAAAATATATAGAAATTACAATAATTAGTATAATATAATTAATATAATAAAATATATAATAATTATAAAATCATTTTATAATCATATAATACAATATTTAATATTACATTTTGAATAAAAATTGACATAATCATGTTTTTTGGGAAATGATCAAGCATGCTTGCACTGAAAATAAAGACAGGGACTTCTAAACTGGATTGTGGGTGATTACTGAATAAGACAGGTTTTTGTGAATTGGTCGGTTTGTTTGTTATGTTTAAAGTACATACTTTGTCTGCCGTCCATCGATGGAGTAGAACAGCTCCCGCAGCTCTGGAGTCAAATTTGCAGCTTTGTTCTGTCGATGCCTTGGCTTCCTGGAACACAATTCTCAATGCTTTGATTCACACACGCCACCTCGGGTTAGACTTTGATCCTCCTGCGCATCGACGTTCGGCTGCTTGTTCGTTTTCGCTGCAGATGCTTCAAAAAGCAACGGCGTGCAGCGCAATATAATCACGCCTCTCTGAAAGGCGACTAATTAGGGAATGAAAATATAAGGTTGCCATGGATACAGGTCACCCAAACCCAAAGACTAAACTACGGGGAGAGTTTACGAAGTACGAACTGCGCCCACTGATTGCACGCTTCGTTTGCGTTGTTTTAGCACCTGATTCGCTTAAGGAATTATGCAAATCAGAAAAGGCATAAATAATTAGCGCAGGGCACTTGTGGAGGATGCAACAATCAGGTGACTTTAAAGTGACTGTACAGCATCACGAACAAATGATCTGAAAATGCAGATAGTGTGGGCTACTGGACTATACTATTTGATCCTCATTTAATGAATTACTGCTGCCATGATCAATAAAAATATACATTAAGGTATTTTTTTTATAATATTTTGTTTACCGCTAGCCTTCTATATAATGCCATATTTAATTATTAAGCGCATTAATTGCACCAAAAAGCTTTGTAAATAAGTTACAACATATAATAAGCCTAAAGTGCATAAATATAATATAATATAATAATATTTGGCAGTTTTTAGTGATATTTTTAGAAATATCACAGTCTTGCGTTCAGATTATAAATGAGATAAAAAAAAAATATCCTGATCCAAAACCAAAGATGTAGATAATCTGCATAAATCTATATTATAGAGCATAGTGGCTATCTTATAATGTGTACTGCAAACTGTTGATTTATTGCTATCAAAAATACAAAATGTAAATAAAAAAATTCTATAATAAAATATATAGAAATTACAATAATTAGTATAATATAATTAATATAATAAAATATATAATAATTATAAAATCATTTTATAATCATATAATACAATATTTAATATTACATTTTGAATAAAAATTGACATAATCATGTTTTTTGGGAAATGATCAAGCATGCTTGCACTGAAAATAAAGACAGGGACTTCTAAACTGGATTGTGGGTGATTACTGAATAAGACAGGTTTTTGTGAATTGGTCGGTTTGTTTGTTATGTTTAAAGTACATACTTTGTCTGCCGTCCATCGATGGAGTAGAACAGCTCCCGCAGCTCATCAGTTGTCAGTATCCCGTCTGCAAAATACGCTTTGAACTCCTCGAAGGACAGCTTCCCGTCATCTGCAAGAAGACACAAGAGGAATCAGACAGAGATTCAGCAATCAGAGAATCTGCTGCCAAGTTTCCACCCAAGGATTTTTTGCGACAAAAAGGTTTAATGCATCAAAATGTTTACTGGTATAGCTGGTGTAAATGCTAATTATCGTTAAAGTGTCATCTAAATATTTTTCAATTTACCTTTAGAGCATAAGTGTCGATACTTCACGAAGAACTAGTTTAGAATTTTTTTTTTTTTTTTTAGAAAATTTGCTTTAGTGCAAATCTGTGTTGGTATGTTGCTCCCATTAAATAGTTGTTTCTCAGTAAAGTTTAAGGAAGTGTTAAATCTATTTGGACTTCATATGAAGTGAAATGCCCTACTAAAATCTAAATCTAAATAAAAACAAAAAGTGCAGTTTTTTTTATTATCAATATAAAAAGTCAACACTGCTGTGTTAGGGTTAGGCGACTTTATGCCGACAAAAAAACCCATGCATTTAGACAGAAAGAGACTGGCTGATGGGCATGCAAAACGACCAATCACGGTTTGTTTTGCTTTTACATGCTGTATAGGGGGTGGGTTTAAAAAAAGTACAGAATTCGATAAACAGCTGCTTGTGCATATCTAGTTTATTTGCTCAAACAAAACTGAATCTTTTAAAGATTTGATGCCACAAACCTTGCAAACTTTGGAAATGAGCTCTTCTTCACTTGTTCCTAATATCTTCACTTCACAACTGTTCATAATGTCATCTCAGTATCTTGTTTAGTATGCAACAACCAGGTGAGTTTAATGTGAATGTACAGCATCACAAAAACATTTGAATTGATCTTAAAATGCAGAAAGTGTCCTTGACTACACCAGAGGCAATTCTAACGCTCTTCTGCATCATTTATTTGATCATCATTCAATGAATTACTGCTGCCATGATGATCAATAAAAACTGTAGACTAAAGTCTTTTCAAAATAATATTCCGTTTACAGCCAACCTTCTATAAGCAGTAATGCTTTAAGTGCATTAATTGCACTAAAAAAATAGCATTGAGTTTCATAAATGAGTTGCAATATATAATCAATTTCGAATACCCATTTAGACAGAAATAAACATGCAAAGCAACCAATCACAGTTTTTTTGTTCTTACTTGATGTTTAGGAGTCCGTTTAAGTATGAAAAACTCTGTGTGCATAAAATATTATTTAATTGTGGAAACATGTGTCCATGCAAAAGTAATGCAGATTTCAATGAACAGTTGAAATAAGATCAATATTAAATAAATTTGATTATCTGATGGCCTGATACAAAAACCTGTGCACCTTGACTCTTGAAAATTGCAATGCAGTCTGGTTGGAGTTTGCAATGTTGACTAGATCGATCTTTCCAGTTTTGCGTGCAACATACATCAAACAATCAGTGAAATGACTGGAGGTTGAGACAGCGTTTACCTCGTCTGAAATACTGTCGTCTCAGCCCACGATGAGCGTCTTTATTAGGTCAGATGAACACCTGGCAATGCTTTTTACTGACAGCAGATGTCGTAGATCAACCTTGATATGTGAACTACCATCTGCCGTTAGTGCATCTGCTCTTATTATTAGGTAAAGTGGAGAAGGTGTCATCTATCAAGAGCCCAAAGAGAAATATACACGGCAGTATGTGACAGCACTCATTCATGGCTGACAGATCGTCTAAATCACTTCCTCTCTGAGTGAGCACGTCACTGAGCATTTGAGCACACTCTGACATTTATCAGCCTCCTGAAAGACACCAGAGGTGCTTATAGCCCTCCAGTTGTGCATTTGAGGTTTGACGACACTTCAGCTTGACATCAGGGGCAGTGAATGACTTTCCACAAAGTGAATGTGAGAGGAAAACTCTGGTGTCTAAGCCTATATCTACTAGCCTAAGAGAAAATGGTGCGCAGAAAATAATATCGCAAGATTTGTATGTTTTCTGAAGGAAATACTGGAGAAATACCTGTGCAAATCCATGCCAAAATTATTCTGAATAATCTTCTTAACCCTTAAAAGCCTGACATATGAAATAATAGTCTGAAAAAACTTTTTTATGGAACAGTTTATTGAACCTTTAGATAAAATCTAAAAGAAAAGAGAAGTTTGAATATGTGTTTTTGTTATCATATTTGATGCATCAGGTATTTATGGCTCATATAGTCTGATATAGTGAGAATATGGAGGGGGAAAAAAAACTCAATTTTATTAAGAGATTGAAACTGAGCAAAAATATGCAATTTGGTGCAGATGCTGATATTGAAATACTATATGATGAAATACTGATGCTTGTAATGTAAATCAACGAGATCTTTAAAACATTAAAAAATGGTCACTCTATATCTCCAATAATGTCTTAGTAAGATGAGATTGAAATGATCTAATGCAATGCTGATTGAGAGCTGAAGAAATAAAGGCTCCTCAGAAGATGTGAGATGTTCTGGAGGCTTGTGAAGATCATTCCTCCGCTGAGGAACAGTGAAAGTAAAGCTTCTGGAAACAAACGCTCCTCAAAAGATCCTGAGGATCAGATTTGAGACTCTAAAACATGATTGATGGAGAATCAAGTAAAGCTGAGCTGCTTCAGTGCAGTAAGTGTTCATCTGGAGATATTACTGACGTTATTCTGACGTTTACCTGATAAAAATTTGCAAATATTTGACAGCAAAAGATGTTTATACTATTATACTAAAATACCTTTAACTCTAAACTATCAATCAGACGACAGAAGGCATGCAGTAGATTGAGTGTGGAATTTTTACAGGCCAAAAATTGCGTCTCAAATCCGATCCAGTAGGTTTTAAAGGGTTAAATATGATTAGAGTGAGATTCAGAGGAAGTTATTATTATTTACTACAGTGATATATAAAGTAGCCTGAGTTTGCGCCTCTGAGAACTTTTATATTGGAACAGAGAAAAGTTTCAGGTATAAATGAAAGAGAAATTGCAATGAGAAGCAGTTTGTCTCCAGGGCCAGAGATCAGACGAGAGCATCAGTTCACTCCTCTTTGAGAAAGAATACAATGGAAATTAAAGTCAAATACTCAAAGCATCACTTATAAAGCACACATTTTGATGGATGAATCAAAAGAACAATAATCAGACAGATAAAACGGATAAAACCACCTAGAAACCACACAGAAACAGGTCACTTGATATAAATCTCAGCAAGACATCAAATAACCATCTGATTCACAAATCCGCACAAAGGGGGTTTGAATGTATTTTTAAGTTAAAAACTACTTTTTTGTGGCCAAATGGATACTTAATTACACATGAGCCTCACAGAGACAGTGGACATATTCAGCGCATTAGAACACTGTCCAACGTCTCCAATTCATTCAAGAGCAAATTTGACGGCCATCTGGGTTCAGTCTCTTCACAACAGACGGTAGGATATCACTGATCAGACTCTCTGCTTCAGAGCCAAATAGTGCCACCTTCTTCATTCTGTCTATGGGTACACACTAATACACACTAACCAAGCACTTGAAAAATGTTTTGAGCAGAAATTTAATTACGCTGGAAGAAACATCACCACTTTCAGAGCAGAAAGAGAGATTGCAGTTTTCTCTCCAGAGAACTCTCTAAAGCACATTTGCATACTCGAAATGTAGTGGGTCGTTTAATTGCATTATGCACAAATATCAGACATAACGGCTTCATTCACAACACAGGTAAATGTGGCCCAAATCTGTTTTTATTTAATTGTGAACAGCAAAAATCAATACAAATACCATTTTCGATACCAATCTGGCTTACTTTCATTAAAATAATTTAAATATGTATCTGTTTGCACCATATGCAATATTACACAGAAGTGAAAAGAAGTGATTTTAATATATAATACTGTGATACCATTCAAAAGTTTGGGGTTTGTATGATTTTTGTATGTCTTTTCAGCAAGGATGCACTAAATTGATCAGAAGTCACAAACACAGTTATAATGTTACAACATATTTCTATTTAAAATAAATGCTTTCTAGATACTTTTTATGCACTAAAGTATCCTCAAAAAATAAAAATAAATCACCAAAATGTTTATTGATCAACAAATCAGCACATTAGAATTATTGCTGAAGGATCATGTGAAATAAATTACATTTTAGTATATATAGAAAACTGTTACTTTAAATTGCAATAATATTTCACAGTCTTACTGTTTTTACTGTATTTTTGATTAAATATATGCAGCCTTGGTGAACATAAAAGAGTTCTTTCAGGAACATAAACAAATCCTACTGATCTCAAACTTTTGAACAGTTGTGTATATTCAAAAACATATTTAAATTTAAAAAAATAAAAATCTGTTATATTTAAAAATATATATTTATGTACATTACATCTCAAATGTTGTGACAAATGCACTGGACAATATAAGTTAAATTGTTAATATGCATACATTTAAAAAGGAGAAATCATTTCATTTAATAACAAAATATGCAATATGCGCAAAAATGCAATATATGCAAAATATGAAATTTTATATTAAAAATATTTGTGTGATGTGATGAATATCTGTTTGATGTTATGATTAACATGCCATGGTAAATTATGCTTTTTTTTAGACTGATTCAGGCCACATCTAAAACATCCTCAATCACATTTAAACATGAACATTGGAAATGAGCATCAAGCTTGAGTTTGGTCATCTATGGATTGTGAACATTGGCTTTGTTTTCTTGCCTTAACATCGCCTGACATTTCTAGGTCAAAGTTTAATTCTGACAGATATCTGAAGTCCAGTAAGAGCTCCAATCTGCCGCAGACTGCTGGATAGCAGCTCTTGTGGTTAATGGAGACCTTGGAGAGGAGCGTTCGGCTCTCAGGAGACTCTTATCTTCTCTGCTGCTCTGCCTTATTTAGTCTCAAACTAATGTGCCATTCTGTGTTGTTGTCTGGGGATCAGCAGAATCTAATGCATCTTCCTAAGCGTTTCCCACCCAGCCCATGCTGTGCTTCAAACACGTTTCCTTCAGCGAGGGTGGAGCAGCGTGATAGAACATCGTCT